TGAAATGGCAGGAAACCGGCTTAACATAATTAATTGATTTAATGTCCGCTATATGTCCGTAAAATTGCTCTCTTAGGGAGTTACCTGTTTGACCTACAGAGTTGTAATAGAGTTGGTAAGCGAACAGCATGGATCCTGATCTGACTGCACGGATGCGCAGGCTGGTCTGGATCCATGCTGGTCGCAAACCCATTATGTTGGTTTTGTTGTAACACGGCTCATATTCAATAGATAGTGTAGAAATACACATGTACTAAGAAAGAAATTAGAAATCATATTTTTGTGTTATCCTTAGCTTGATTTGAGTGAAAAGTATTGCAAAGCTCTTCAATTTTGAGTCATTTCTTGAAATAAAAATAGTCATTCTGGAAAAACTGAGTGAGTGAATGATCTGAAGTTTTGCACACAAGTTATTGATCAAATGGAATATTAATCTTAAAATATTACCAGTCCATTCATGTTAGAAAACCTCAGTGGAGTCCCTTTAGATTTAAATCATTATAAACTTGGTAATATTTAATAAAGCAAAGTTATCTATTATCACCATTTGTGTCTATAAGAGTTATTGTCATTATTTCATATTAATTTGATGGTTCTTAATGTAGGAAAGTTCCTGAAGGAGCAATATTTTTATCATATCTGTCATGCTTTAAATCCTGCTTAGAGGTTCTTCAACCCTATGCATGTTCATAAATTAAAGTCAATAACATGTAACTATGTACTTTAAATAGTAAATAAATCTAAGGAAGTTTCAGGCATGGGTTGATTTTTGTAAATGCTTTATACTTGAAGGGCTGCAGTGGTTTTGTTGTGATTTTTAAAAATTTTGAAATTGAAAGTGACTTTTATTCATTATGCTTTGCTTCATATGGTCTTTTCTTGTAATTTAAAATGACATATTAAAATTGGTATATCACAATATAATGTACATTTACCTTTAATTAATGTTAAGTAGGCAATAAAACAAATCATATACTTTCCTTCATTCGAGTCTTGAATATTAGTCATATTGAAATTCTGAATATTTGCTTATTAATTACTGTTAATTTGTTTTGAAAAATCATTTTCATAAAATACTGGGTGGAGATATGACTAGCTCATATTCAAGTCTGCTTTTCTGATTTTATTAAATTTGTTTGAAAGTGAATCAGTTCTGTAGTATTGCAGTAATTGTAAATTTCTTAAAATAATAATTTATCATTTTTATGCAGTCACCCATTTGTCGCCGCCGGCGTCCCTGTGGTTAAGTTTTTGTATGTAAAATGGTATCTCCATAACTACTGAAGGGAATGAATTGAAACTTCACACACTTGTTCTCTGTGATTATCTAAGATGATTGGCACAAGTCCCATAACTCTAATTTGCTTTTTTACATAATTATGCCCCTTTTTGGACTTAGAAATTCTTGGTTAAGTTTTTGCTTGTAAGCTGGTATCTCCATAACTACTGAAGGGAATGAATTGAAACTTCACACACTTGTTCTCTGTGATTATCTAAGATGATTGGCACAAGTCCCATAACTCTAATTTGCTTTTTTACATAATTATGCCCCTTTTTGGACTTAGAAATTCTTGGTTAAGTTTTTGCTTGTAAGCTGGTATCTCCATAACTACTGAAGGGAATGAATTGAAACTTCACACACTTGTTCTCTGTGATTATCTAAGATGATTAGCACAAGTCCCATAAATCTGATTTGCTTTTTTACATAATTATGCCCCTTTTTAGACTTAGAAATTCTTGGTTAAGGTTTTGTGTGTAAGCTGGTATCTCCATAACTACTGAAGGGAATGGATTGAAACTTCACACACTTGTTCTCTGTGATTATCTAAGATGATTAGCACAAGTCCCATAAATCTGATTTGCTTTTTAGCTCACCTGTCACAAAGTGACAGGGTGAGCTTTTGTGATCGCTTTTCGTCCGGCGTCCGTCCGTCGTCCGTCCGTCGTCCGTCCGTAAACTTTTACTTTAAATGACATCTCCTCATAAACCACTAAGCCAATTTCATCCAAACTTCACAGGAATGTTCCTTTGGTGGTCACCTTTAAAAATTGTTCAAAGAATTTAATTCCATGCAGAACTCTGGTTGCCATGGCAACCGAAAGAAAAAACTTTAAATATCTTCTTTTAAAATACCATAAGAGCTAGAGCTTAGATATTTGGCATGAAACATCTTCTAGTGAGTGTCTACCAAGTTTGTTCAAATAAAAGCCCTGGGGTCAAAATTGGCCCCGCCTTGGAGGGTCATTGATTTTCCCTATATGCATATAGTAAAAACTTAAAAAATCTTCTTTTAAAGAACTCAAAGGGCTAGAGCTTAGATGTTTAGCATGAAACATGTTCTAATGGGTGTCTACCAAGTTTGTTCAAATAAAAGCCCATGGGTCAAAATTGGCCCCGCCCCGGGGGGTCATTGATTTTCCCTTTATGCATATAGTAAAAACTTAAAAAATCTTCTTTTAAAGAACTCAAAGAGCTATGGCTAAGATATTGAGCATCAAACATGTTCTAATAGGTGTCTACCAAGTTTGTTCAAATAAAAGCCCTGGGGTGAAAATTGGCCCTGCCCCAGGGGAACATTGATTGTCCCTATATGCATATAGTAAAAACTTAAAAAATCTTCTTTTAAAGAACCAAAAGAGTTACAGCTAAGATATTTAGCATGAAACATGTTCTAATAAGTGTCTACCAAGTTTGTTCAAATAAAAGCCCTGGGGTCAAAATTGGCCCCGCCCCGGGGGGTCATTGATTTTCCCTATATGCATATAGTAAAAACTTAAAAAATCTTCTTTTAAAGAACTCAAAGAGCTATGGCTAAGATATTTAGCATCAAACATGTTCTAATAGGTGTCTACCAAGTTTGTTCAAATAAAAGCCCTGGGGTCAAAATTGGCACCGCCCCGGGGGTCATTGATTTTCCTTATATGTGTATAGCAAAAACTTAAAAAATCTTCTTTGAAAAAACCCAAATAGCTAGAGTTAAGATATTAAGCATGAAACATCTTTTAGTGAGTGTCTACAAAGTTTGTTCAAATAAAAGACCTGGGGTCAAAATTGGCCCTGCCCCGGGGGTCATTGATTTTCTTTATATGTGTATAGCAAAAACTTAAAATCTTCTTTGAAAAAACCCAAATAGCTAGAGTTTAGATATTAAGCATGAAACATCTTCTAGTAAGTGTCTACAAAGTTTGTTCAAATAAAAGCCCTGGGGTCAAAACTGGCCCAACCCCAGGGGTGTCATTGTTTTTAACTATATGTGTATAGTAAAAAATTTAAAAAATCTTCTTTTAAAAAGCCCAATGAGCTAGAGCTTAGATGTTTAGCATGAAACATCTTCTTATGGGTGTCTACCAAGTTTGTGCAAATAAAAGCCCTTGGGTTAAATTGGCCCTGCAACGTTGGGGGGGGGGGGGGGTTTGGGGCCTATATACAGGTGAGCGACCTCAGGGCCATCATGGCCCTCTTGTTTACATAATTATGCCCCTTTTTAAAATGAGAAATTCTTGGTTAAGGTTTTGTGTGTAATGGATTGAAACTTCACACACTTGTTCTCTGTGATTATCTAAGATACTCAATGAATCACCCTTGTGACAAATTTTCGAATAGTCGAGCGTTACTGTCCTCCGACAGTTCTTGTTTTCCTGCTAGAAAACCATTTTGTGTGTACATGCCTCTACAGCCTAGGTGCTCAACTCTTAACTGGTATTAAATATCCAATCTACACTGCTGAGTCCCGATAACATTTTCATTCTTTATGAATGAGTTGCATATATGACATGATAAGGCTTGTTACAAATTGCAGTTGATTTTTCTGATGTAAATTATCTCAACTGATAAGAATAAACTTGTAACATTATAATGTGAGGTGATATTTTAGCATCATATGAAAAGAAAACATAATATGAACAGAAAATATCATTATTTTTTATATGCCCGAAAGAATTTCGGGCATATTATGTTACACCCCGTGGCGTCCGTCCGTCTGTCTGTCTATCTGTCCGTCCGTCCGTTAGCAATTTGGTTTCCGGAGCATAAGTTCCATTTGGCCCACAACATTCAAACTTCATAGGATGATTGCCCATATAGGGTAGAAGACCCCTATTGATTTTGGGGTTGCAAGGTCAAAGGTCAAGGTCGCTATCACCTTAAAACTGAAAACAGTTTCTGCAGCATAACTTAAGTTTCGTATGGCCCACAATATTCAAACTTCATAGGATGATCGTCCATATTAGGTGGAAGACCTCTATTGATTTTGGGGTCACAAGATCAGGGCAAGGTCACTTTTACCTTAAAACTGAAAACAGTTTCCGGAGCATAACTTAAGGTCTATTTGGCCCACAATATTCAAACTTCATAGGATGATTGTTCATATTGGGTAGAATACCCCTATTGATTTGGGGTCACAGGGTCAAAGGTCAAGGTCACTATTACTTTAAAACTGAAAACAGTTTCCGGAGCATAACTTAATTTCTATTTGGCCCACAATATTCAAACTTTATACGAGGATTGCTATTGGAAGGAGGTAATACTTTATTTAATTTATGTAATGTCTTACAAATGCTACATCCTTAATATAAAAAAAAAACACTTTCGGGCATATAATGCTCCGCCTAGCAGTGCTCTTGTTTTTATTTTTGTTGCCTTATAAAGGTTTACTTGATCCATCTTATCAAAGAGAAAACATGTATTAAAAGAACAGCTGCTGCATATATAATTATGTTGTCCTTAACAAGTGTTGATTGGCAGGTTAGCAAAGATTAAATATCACAAGTCTTGAGTCAGAGCTGGTTTAATGTAGTGCTATGATACAGGAAAGTGTTCTCTTGATTAGTATATGTTGCTTATTTGTACCATTACCTCATTACATGATGAACTGTTGCTTGTGACAATAGAAGTGTAAGATATATGACATTCTGCTTAAAACACAATGTAGATATGCATAAGCAAGATCATTCAGTCATAAAAGTTTTGTATCTAAGACATTTTTCTTTGTAAATTTCAGAATTTTTTCTCAAAGATAGCTGATATAGTGAAGGGAGGAAGTAATGAGATACCACAGACAGATACACGCTGGATCTCGGAGAGTGGTGTCATAGATGTGTTTGTCATGCTGGGACCCTCCGCTCACGATGTCTTCTACCAGTACGCACAACTGACAGGAACAACTAATCTCCCACCGGTAATGATTTTAAAACAGTTATAAAACTTTGATCTATAATGTCATGATATCTTTATAATTAAACACCAGTACAAAGAAAAATGCTTACAGTGCAGCAGTAATATTCTTTCAGATTTTCATGCATAATTCCAAATGTTTTATTTGGAATGTATTCCCAGTTTTCTTGTATTTACACAGAATTTTGTATGATATTTTCAGTTGTTTGCAGTATCCTATCATCAATGTAGATGGAATTATAATGATCAAGATGATGTCAAAAAGTAAGTTTACTTTGTTGTTAGTCTGTTCTTAAGCTTATGTCACATTTGCTTTTTATAGAATTGGCATAAAGTGAATGCTTATATTGTTTGTAAATTGAAGTAGATCTGGTATATAGGATACATGTCTATTTCATTTATATATAATACTCGTAGGTTTACTGAAAGAGATGACTTTCAAAATTTCTCAAAAATATAGTACAGGTATGAAAAATAATCTTTGGGGTAAGAGTAATCCCATACTTATATAAAGAAGCACAATTTTGTTTAATGTGAAGAAAAAGTGTTTGTGACATTTGCTATACATGAAGTGATAAGTCACAGTATCTCAATATTATGATTATGTCATGGACCTACGATTCTTTCATATGATGAAAATATTTAGCACACTTATGGAAGGTTAGTGGTTCTACTCAGATGCCAGCTCTGGCCTGAAATAATACTTAATGTGGCACCTGAGATCTTTCTCCACCAGTAAAACTAGAAAGTCACTTTATGACCTCTACTGTGTTGGTGCAACGTGAAACCATACAAAACAAAGACAATGATATGATTCTGTATTTAATCAACAAGCTTATATGTAACTACTCTATATATATTATTCACAAGATCAGTAGTTCAATTTTCTTCCCACAATAGAAACTATCCTATATTGTATTTTCTTTCCTATCATCAATTCCTTTAATGATTTTTTCAGTGTGGATGCCATGTTAGATCAGTATGATATACCATATGACGTCATTTGGTTGGATATTGAACATACAGACGGCAAAAAGTAAGTTAGATTCTAAAATTACAGTTACTATCAATACATTGGTTTAAAAAGGCACTTTTAAACTAAAATATACTTGACTTTATTTCAGACTACACTTGGTGCTTCCTGTGTACCTGTACTAACTATCTTCAATTCATTTGTTTTAAAAGGCACTTTTAAACAAGAATATACTTGACTTTATTTCAGAATACACTATCTTCCTGTGTCACAGTGTACCCTGTTTTGTTAGTGAAGTCCATGTGTCATATTAATGTTCAAGATTAAGAAAACCTTAAAAAGTTATAACGTTTTGTAGGTTTTGACATAATTGACTTATTACAGATATTTTACCTGGGACAATGATAAGTTTTCTAAGCCAGAGGAGATGATAAATAATGTGGCATCAAAGGGACGTAAGATGGTGACAATTGTAGATCCTCATCTTAAACGTGATGATAATTACCAGGAATACAGGGAGGCAAGAGATAAAGGTTACATGGTGAAGAATAAAGATGGCAATGACTATGATGGATGGTGCTGGCCAGGTAACTCTATATACTCTCTATAAGTTACATGTTTTATAAGTGACGATGTTGATTAATCACAGGATGTTGCTTTTGCTCTTACTTTTATACAAACTATACTGGTCGGAGACCATCAACCGGACACTTTTGGAACATTTTTCCGTACAGATTTCATAATTTTTTACCTAGAGACCAAAAAATTTTACATAGTTCAGCTAGGTTCTTCTCCTAACTAACAAACTAGTTTGTTTATTTCTGATTTTATTGACATTTATATCTGAGGCTCGACAAGGAGGGTATCAAAATTACCTAAATTGTCTACACTACAGTACCATGTGTCCGGACAGATATGTACATGATGTGATTTAATTCAGATAAAAGCTTGGGTGTTTTGATTTTTGATTTGTAACATGATATACAATATGTCGGCAACAAATGCTGAAGTTTTGGATATTCTATTATTCACTCTGCAAATTATTATAGCTGGTATATGAGGTCAGGCATTGCTTTCTTGACCCCCGAATTTCAACGTCAACATTCTTGAAATAGACATTAAAATATTACCATTTAAGGAGGTTGAAATAAATTTATTCACTTAATTTTAAAAGAAACATGCACTTATTGTTGATAAAAAAGTGACTGACAACCACTGAACAAAGAAAATACTAAATTAAGCATTTTAGGGGCCGTCCGGGTTTGGTGGTTGTCCGGTTTTGGTGGTCCCCAACCAGTATAAGATATATAAAATACAATATTATGTTTATTTTTAAGAATTTTTTTTTCTACCAGAATGACAGACTATTGTGTAATCTGTGTTGTTGTATTTTGACACTACTTCAGTGTTTTGATATTAAAGTTAAAATTTGAGATTTCTTATGGTATTGTTTTGCCTTAATCCTCTTGTATTACAGGTACACGCATGTCTCATTAAGTAAAAACTAAAACAATCATTGATGTTTAACCTTTACAGATGAACAGAAAATTTCATACAGTTTGTTTTTATTTTGCTATTATAGGATCATCTAGTTGGCCTGACTTTTCTAACCCTGAAGTAAGGAAATGGTGGGCGAGTAAGTTTCATTATGAGGATTATCAAGGTAGTACACCGGACCTGTTCACCTGGAATGATATGAATGAACCGTCGGTATTTAATGGACCAGAAATAACATTCCATAAAGACGTTTTACATCATGAAGGCATAGAAAATAGAGATTTACACAATATGTATGGTTTTTATGTGGTAAGTTTATTATCAGTGTACATATTGTGGCATTTTTTCTTATATCTTTAACAACCCATATGTCAAAGTTCTGCAACTATTTTCCAGTTATTGAAAGATCTATTTAGTGAACATTACAATTTTTGCTTCTCTTGCCCTATAAATCATTAAACATACTTATTTTAACCTTAACAACCATTCTTATGTATGACAAATGATAATGTCATTTTTCTAATGTATCCTATTTTAAATGTTCAAAAAAGAATGACAGAAGTTTTTAATTTGATGTTTCATTATTAGATCAGAGAAAAAGATTTATCACACACCCGTGCCGATTTTGCGACTCCGTAAATATGGTATTGCACGGCCGTGCACATATTGTGACGTCATTAGAGTTATAAAAACATAGTGTAATGACGCGCTAAATGTTAGCCTTAAACTATAGGCGCGTCAATGAAAGATGACTCTTATTTCACTTTAAAAGGTCTTTATTTTGGGTATGTGATAAATAGAATATTAAATTCGTGTAAGTTCATTACTGAATTTATTGCACAAGTTGAATAAAATAATATTATGCTCGCCAAAGGTTCGCATAATATAATTTTATTCAACTTGGCAATAAATTCAGTATTGAACTTACACTCATTCAATATCCTCTATATATTTTATTTTGGGACAGTTATCTCCCTTTTACCACTGTGTCAGCCCTAAACTAAGATATTACATCATATATTACAGCAACAAGCTACAGCTGAAGGTCAGTTATTGAGGAGTGATAACAAGGAGAGGCCATTTGTACTCACCAGAGCTTTCTTTGCTGGATCACAGAGGTTTGGTAAGGTTCTATAAAACATTACATATAAAAGAATAGATAAAATGGAAGCCCTAAAGAGTGTCCAACACTGCACAAATTGAAAATATTGCAGGCTCAGTATGGTTCTGTTTATGGATGGTCAAAATAATGAAATAAGTTGATACAATTGTGGTTTTGTTATTACGACTTTTCACCAACTTATGACTTTTCATCATCAAACCTTCAACTTTTCACCATTGTGTTTTATTGTTTTCACTTTTCACCAGCGTAATTTCGTGTTTTCATTGTTTTGAGCTATGTGTATGTCATGATGGCCTGAACAGGACACTGCAAGATTGAGTTCTGCCCAAACTTTATTATTGATATAATATGTAGTTCTAAAAACGACATGATGTAGTCATTTTACTGATACTTTGATAATTTCAAGAGATTGTAAATAAAAATACCTGAAGTTTGCTTTAGGGATTATGATTCCTACAGAGTACATTAGTGATATATCTACATAGACAGTGCACTCCAATAATCATGTGTTACAATGATATATATTTCAATTGGGTTTAAAGCACTGTCTATGATTATCAGTAAAAACGTTCTTTCATGTCTCGAGTATAATTTTTCTCTTGAGTCATTCACATAAATAATTAATACATAAAATTTTAAAGAGATATTATATTACAGGTGCTGTATGGACTGGAGATAACATGGCAGAGTGGGGACATTTAAAGATAGCTAACCCTATGTTACTATCCCTCAATCTGGCAGGTATTACATTATCTGGAGCTGATGTTGGTGGCTTCTTTAAAAATCCAGATACAGAACTTCTAACAAGATGGTACCAGGTAAACTATGAAACATTTATCACACACATTATCTGTTAAAGGAGTTCCACTGAGGTCAGACAGCCTAATAACATAATATTTCAAATTCTTACATAGATTGGATGAAGCACATAAAATGGAAAAATTCACAAACTTTATTAAAGAAATATACTCGGTATTAAATTGAAGATTGATTTTTTTGTGTGATATCTGCCAAATTTGATAGAAAAGCATTGCAATGCTTCATTTTTTTTTGGTAATTTTACACAATAAAAATGATTACTCTGGTAAAATGAGAGGAGTGGATGATCTGAAAATTTGCACACAAGTTATTAGTCCAGACCATCATCAAATGGTACACAAATCTCAGAAAAATATTTCCAGTCCCATCACGTCAAAAACTCTCAGTGAGTGGAGTCCCTTTAAACTACTTCAATACTTTATTCAGTTTGTTACAGTAAATAAAGCAGGCTTCACGTGTGTAAAGTCATGTTGCTTTCAGAGTATACTCGATCCTTTTAAATACTATTTTATGAGTAATATTCATATACAGGTAATTGATATTTCTATATAGTTGTGATTAATTTATAGAGTCCATTAATCATCTGTATATTTTAAAAGAGGCATATGGTAAAATATTGATAATTTTATATAATAATTTACACACCTAATATGTATTTCAGGCAGCAGCATTCCAGCCATATTTCCGTGCTCATGCTCATATTGATACTAAAAGAAGGGAACCATACCTGCAACCAGAAGAAAATATGAAGATTATACGTAATGCAATCAGGGCGCGTTATTCTTACCTCCCCTTCTGGTATACACTCTTCTATGATGGAGAAACAAAAGGTGTTCCTCCAATGAGACCACTCTGGGTAGAATATCCTACAGATAAAGATACATTTAGTATGGATGATGAATTTTTAATAGGTATTCATGTTTGTTTTATGTCATTTCTTATTATTCACATTTCAATATGTATTTATTAGCTCGTCTGTTTAGAAGAAAAAGTTGAGCTGTAATGATCGCTGCAGTATCATTGTCATTGTTGGTGTCATAAAAAAATTTCATGTAGCCCATTACTTGAACAATGTTTTAGGTATCAATATGAAACTTGGAAACATTGAATTTTAAAAGACATGCATTACACCACTTGCGGTTCCCTAACAATTATTCCTGAAAACTTACGTTAATTTATTGTCATTTTGATATAATACATGTAATTGACATATGATATTACCTATTACAAACCTATATTTCTGTTATGAATTTACATTTAAAAATTCAGACTAACAAATTTGATAACTTATGAATAATTTCTTTTCTAAGAATTTTTCTTCCAAATGATAATTTGATGGTTTTAGTAATTGGTTGTTTTATTTTCCAGTAATATATGAATGTATAAAATACTGTATCTTTTACTTCATTAGGTAGTTCCTTGCTAGTTAAACCTATCACTGAGGCTGGTCAGACAGGTACACAGGTATACTTCCCAGGAGAGGGACAGGTGAGTACTACCATCATACATATTACTACACAATGTTGTTTCATTGGATTGGTTTAAGTTTTACAAAAATTAAGTTTCCAAAATTCTTGTAATGAAAAAAAATGAGAAACTTATGAGCTTGCTAGCTATTTTAGATACAAGACTGTCTGCATCTACAGTTGTATGTTATGCTTCTTTTCATCATGTACACAATAGGAAAGTGGGAAATGTTTTGAAAATATGGCTATTCTTTGAATAAATTTCAATGTCTGAAAGTTTTGCATATCTAAGCATCGCCTGACCAACTTTTCTTAGTAAATGGTTGTTTGTTGGTATGAACTTTTGCAGTTATGTTAATATTCTATTGAACTATTCTTCAAAAATGTTTCTCTATTTCAGTTGTAATATGACTTCCATCAAATGTATGGCTTTATTGATTGATTGTTCATATTACTTGCTTCCTGATTTTGTTTACTTATTTATAAAGAGTAAATGTGTAATATTATAGGTATGGTATGATGTAGAGACGTTTAGACCTTATCCTGGAAAACAGACCACATATGTTGAAGCTCCATTATCTAAGGTATGTAATTGTCATTTGTTAGCTCATCTATAAGTCAAGCTATTATGGTGACTGCATTGTTGTAAATGTCTTTTAAAAACTTAAATGTTGCCTATTTTTCGAACAATTTTGTTAGGTATCAATATGAAACTTGAAATACTTCCTCATAACAAGCTTCAAGTGTATGGCAAGGGGCATTATTCTGCAAGCAGTATTCTTAAAGTTATTCTCCTTTTTAATAAGAGATTTTTTTTGGTAAAAAATCTATCCAGTAAAATGATACCAAATCTATCAAAGGTAGCAACATGAAACTTTAAATACATGCTTATCATAATAAGGCACAGTTGTTAGACATGGGCATTATTATGAAAGCTATATTATTGGAGTTATACTCCTTTTACTGAGAATTTTTGACAAAGTTGCTTACTTAGTAAAAAGACTATCAAAGATATTAAATAGAGGATATTTGTTTGTTTCAGTGTAAGATCTAAAAATATTTCACCGAGTGAACACCAGATGCAATATTTTCCACGAGTGGCGTAGCCACGAGTGAAAATATAATAGCTGGGGTTCACGAGTGAAATATTATTTGATCTTACATGTAAAACAAACGAATTTTCTGTTTATTTCATGATTTTTTAACGATTTTTACACCATTTTACTGATTTTTGCCGCGTAACGTCATGCTCTTATCTTCATGACGTCATCAAATAATGACGTCACAATGTTGAAGCAAAATATAATTCCATGATTATTTTTAGATTTTAGATGTTTTTCAGCACAACGTTCGTAAATATTTACGAACTACAGTTATCACGTACATTTGTTATTATGATTGACTACATTTCCGCTGAAAAAAACATTCATTAATGATAAATATTTTATTTTTACGTCAAATATAGGGGCGTCTGTGGCCGAGTGGTTTAGGTCGTTGACTTCAAACCACTTGCCCCTCACCGCTGTGGGTTCGAATCCCGAGAGGGACTTTGGATTCTTTCATGTGAGGAAGCTATCCAGCTAGCTTACGGAACGTCGGTGGTTCTACTCAGGTGCCCGTTCGTGCCTGAAATAATGCACGGAAGGGCACCTGAGGTCTTCCTCCACCAGTAAAGCTGGAACGTCGCGATATGACCTATACTGTGTCGATGTGACGTAAAACCCAAAACAAAACAAAAAACAAACGTCAAATATAGTTCGGCTACTGTGAAATTATATTTGGTAATCATTACTGTGAAATTATCAGAATATAATTAACCGTTATAATTCAGTAATCTACTGCAAAACATGTAATAAATATTTCTATTATTTATTTACCAATGTTTCGGATAATCAGCCTTCTTCAGGGTACATAAGTCATGTATTATTTTATATAAAGTTGTTATGGTAACAATGTCTTGATAGATAATTCAATGATGACTCTTCATTATTGTTAATGTTTAGAATGTAGTCGAGTGTTATATTCCATAAAATACGTAAGTTTTTCAAGCTTTTGAACTAAATTATGATCAAAGCTTGTCTCCTACATGTATGTTTTTTTGCAGGATTATTTGGTTGTTTGCTTTTATGTTTTGTTCATGTGTTTTCAGATTCCAGTTTTCCAGAGAGGAGGATCTATAGTTCCTAGAAAATTAAGAATACGAAGATCATCTTCTTTAATGGTGCATGATCCATTTACACTAATAGTTTGTCTTGATAGAAAAGTGAGTATTTATTTTTTAGCTCACCTGTCACAAAGTGACATGGTGAGCTTTTGTGATCGCTTTTTGTCCGTCTGGCATCTGTGCGTCCGTACAAACCTAGAGGTTCTTGTGTGACTTGGAAAACAGGTAACAGTAAATTGTCTTTGATCCTGTTCATTCCGTTTGCACTTGTGTGACTTTTTTTAAGCCTTGTGTGACTAAAAATGGCTAAAAAGATCAAAGGAAAAGTCACATAAGTACCATTTCGTAAGTATGTCCGTAAACATTTACTTTAAACGACATCTCATAAAAGGCTCAGCCAATTTCATTCAAACTTCACAGGAATGTTCCTTTGGAAGTGAACTTAAACAATTGTTCAAAGAATTTAATTCCATGCAGAACTCTGGTTGCCATATGTTCATTAACAATTAATGAATGTTATAAGCATTAATGTGTTACATTAAACAGCTTTGGATTTTACAGAAGATCACATTTATAAAACTGTTTTATGTGTTATATGAAATGTTTGTTTTTTTCATTTTGTATGTTCAAAATATAAATATTTACTATTGGTTAGAGGTATTACATTTTGTTTTTAAAAAGATTTAAAATTCCTGTGTAATAAGTGTATTAGTTATGTTTGTTTGCAAACAATGAATATTTCATCATCATTCATTATAACAAGCATGCTCAGGTGTTACAGTTTAATATTGTGGTCAAATGTTTATATAAACAGTAAAATAAATGATATAATGATGTAACATTGGTGTAAGCTGTACTTTAACTATAAACTTGTTAGTTACCATGTAATGTCTCATTGTTACCTTGTCATTGGCAGACAGTGTCTACAGTGACATTTTTGTACATTGATTAATTTGATCATATTCCCTTAAGGACTGGTGTTCTAAAATGCATTTATTTTATTTCAAAAACATAGTTTTATATCTTCATAGCAACACAGAAAATTGTTACAAAATGTGCCCCTTACATAAAGTCTTAAGGGATGAAAGTGTCATCATTTCTTAATGTCATGAATTTGATTGTTTCTATACATCATTTCATATCAAGAGTAACACTCAGTTTCAGCGTCTTATTAATCTAGAAGGCTGAATTATGTTAGGAGATGTAAATTAATGTGCAGTTCTACAGTAGTACATAATATTGTTTTATTTCAGGGAGCAGCTAAGGGTAGTTTATATATAGATGACTATCACACATTTAACTACAGACAAGGAGAATATTTACTAAGAGATTTCTCATTTGATCAAAATGAATTCCGTAGCCAGTAAGTATAATCTTTTACAATATCCTAATCCCCATGAATAACAAATTTGTTCAACCAATTTCCTTTGTTTATAATGGGTTATTGTGGCTGATTTTGTATTACATAATCCATGCAGTTGTGGGTACAAATCCCAACAGGGACAAATGATTCCTTTTTGGGAGGGACCTATCCAGCTTACTAACTGCAGGTGGGTGATTCTATAAGATGCCTGCCTGTGCCTGAATTAATACGCTGAGAGACCACTGAAGTTTAGAACTGATTTGAGAGTTAAACAAGTAAGATGGTGTCAGATATGAGTGCACACTTACCTTGATTACTTTAAGTACAATCTCTGACAGCTGTAACAGGGAAATGATTCTTTCATTCTGTGATCTAAAGGGTAGTCTGATTATGTTTGTAGCCAGTGATGTGGTAATTTGTGTTGTCTGCATGAGGCATTAAGTCTGAATCACACAATGGGATTCAAATTTTAAATACATTTAAGTATCCTTCTAATAACTTTGAATTTGTACTTTAATTCAGTGGTCTAATATGTTGTCTTTATTTGTGTGTTTACACTGGAAGGTAGGAGTATGACTCCTGTGATGGAAATATTTTTTTTCAGATGTTAAAAATCCTGTTACTTAATTTTTTATGGTTTTATATCATAAATATAATGCTCAAATGATGATTTATCAATATTGTAAGTTCGAAAAAGCATTATATGTAAAGATATTACCAAATTTACATTTCATGAGGTAATTAGAAATTTATTTTCTATAAAGCCTTAGTCAGATTTTTCAATAAGAAATGAAAGCATGTATTTTAATGATCACATATAATGGGGACAAATATTTGCAGTACATACATTACATATTCTTGGATGTTTGATAATTGTTTTAGAAGCATAATTATATACATATATAACATTTCACTTCAAGCTGCATGCCTCCAGATGAGCAATATTTCAAGAAATTCAATCTTTAGAAAATTTTTTTAAGATCTTAAGAAAAATAAAGAGATTCAATATTAAATTAATTATGTACGATTAATGACTGATTTTACAATATTCATCACAATAATTCTACTGCGTTACTAACGCAGTAACAGGTATTTATGTATATTTAGACATCTTTTTGGTAATTTACGTGGATTGTAAGTGGTGTTTGCAATGTGTAAATTACCTTCTTTGTTCACTTCACAGAAATTTACTTTTAAATACATTTTCAAAATTTTCATGAAAATTAGCATGAATCTGGAGGCATGCTGCTTTAAGTGTGGTAACAACCTTAATAATAACTCAACACATCTTTGTATTAAACTTTGATTTGATTTATTCATAACATATGAGTAATACATGTGTACTTTTAAGTCACAAAATAGGATGATACACAATTAAAACATAAAAAACAAAAAACTTGTTTATTTCAAATAACATATATACTGAGGACAAAAGATTAATTGTTTCTATATTCATGATTTATTGTATAATATAAATTACAAAGGTTTTTCTCCTGTATATTGGTTTCATATGGGAATAATTTATTTGTGAAGGTGAAAAGAAGAACAATTATTAAAATCCTACTGAGATTTTTGTAATATAAAAGTACTTGACAATAAATTAAATTGTGAAATAAACAAATTTACTCTATTTCTTACTCTTTGAAATAATAAACAATTTTTGTCATATCTGAATAATTAGTTCTCATGAAAGGATTTGTTTTTAATTACTGAAGAAGGTTTGGTAAAGAAGGCAAAATTTTATCCTAGGCAATGTTAATTAATGGATCATTTGTTTGGGATCATAATATATATGGCAATGAAGCCTGCTTACATAGCTCATATGGGAAAATGTTATCCGCTGACTTCAAGTTGGCAGGTTTGAGTCTTGAGCATGCCACTTGTTTGCAGATAATTATGTTAGTACTGATAGAGAATCAAGGAATACCCTTGTAGTAACTTCAGGCTATTTTATTACTAAAATAATGTTAAACTGGCACAAAACCCAACGAAATACAATATTTGAGTTTCCAATCAGTCTCATTATTTGTGATATATTCTATATTGAAATTGTTAACTAATTTGACTTTTTAACTTGACTGTTAAAAAACTATGTTATACTGATTGCCCATATACCTGGTTGTCAAAATTCAGAAATTGCCAGTTTATATAACAGTATATGTAAATTAAATATGTTTATAGTAATAATTTAGATTACCCACATTTCTACTACCAGTATATTAATAATAAGTTGATAATTTTTCTATGTGATGTATGAGACAAAAATTGAAAATGTCAGATTGCTCATGTTATAACTAAATCAGATCTAATTAAGGCACAGCACCTGCTGAATTTATACATGTTTTACAAATGCTTAACTTACATATCTGTACATATACCGAGATAAAACTATATATGTATGATACAAACTTACATGTACTGCTTTTAAAACATTTTTAGCGATATATTTTCCTTATAACCTTAATGTTAGTGTAGGAAAAGAAACATAATAGTCATAACAGTATAAGTACATACATTTGTTGAAATATACATGTATAAAGGCACTAGCTGAAGTGGTATTCATCCAACAATTGCCATTTTTCCTAAAAGACTGAAATGGTTTCATTTAAACTACACTATTAAAAAAAAGATTGTAGTAAAAATTTGTTAATTTTGTGATGAATTTCATATTATTGTTTAAAACTTAGTATTGCAAATAAATATTTTAGTGAACAGTTTTAAGTTTATTAACTGCATAATTTCAGAGATAGTTTTATATGAGGAACAGTTTTTTGAGGGGGAGGGGGATAAATTTCAGAGATAGTTTTATATGAGGAACAGTTTTTTGAGGGGGAGGGGGATTAAATTTACAAACTTAAATTTCAAAAAAATAAAGGCAGTGTTCTTATATATTTCCTTATGAGTTTTTGCGATGTTTTTTTCTTATTTTAAGCAGCATGCCTCCAGATGAGATAAAATATTTAAAGAAAAATAACTTTGTGAAAAATATTCTAAGATTTTAAGGAAAGTAAAAATATTCACACTTCAAGAGCTTTTTTTGCATGTTTCACTTATTTTGGTAATTGTCATAGATTTTAAGTGCTACTTGCAATGTGAGAATTACTTTCTTTGAATCTGGAGGTTGTTGCTTAAAAACCTAGCTGTTTTTTCAATACTTTTCCACGTAATTAATGTAAAGTTGATATTATTCAGAATTGCTCTACATTGTACTTGATTAAATACGAAATATAATACAAGAGGCTATCCCTGCTATTTTTATGGCAATTTATACAAGATTTGAATTCATATTGGAAAAACTTCAGATTGTTGACTCTTTGAGTAGCTAACTTATATAATAATTCTAACAGGATAGTTATAGATTCTGAATAATTTTCATCTGGTGTCTGTTTGTGTCTGAAATTCTACTTGAAATAACACCTAGAATTTAACCTTCACATGTAATACGTCAGAATGGTGTTAAAAATACTTGTACATTTCTCTAATTCATGACAATGAAAATCTAAACTGGGAAAATTACTTCACAGAAATTGATAGCAGTCATGTCATCACCATCTCAATTTTATCTTCGAGTATTTTAAGAATAATTGGGCAGATACTACTCACCTGTGTGTTGGAATTATACTTGGTGTTTTATGTTCAGCATCCGCGCAGTCTGATCAGGATCATGCTGTTCCCTTTCACTTTCTCTACTTGCTATAGGGTTTGTAAGCGAACAGCATGGATGCTCAGGCTGGTCTGGATCCATGCTGGTCGCAAACGTACTATGTTGGTTTTGTCATGGGGCAGCTCAAATGTTTTTAAAATCATTATAGGAGTTCTATACTCCAGCATAGACTTTAACTAAATAATGCCCCTTTGTGAACTTAGAAAAATCCTGTTAAAAGTTTTGCATGCAATATGAACATTATTGAAGGTATTTAAAGGTGGAATCATCATCTAAGGTCAATAACCAAGGCTTGTAACTATGACATTGAAGTTGATAGTCTTTGGCCCTTTGTGAACTTAGAAAATTCCTGATTGATGTTAAGTGTTCAAAACAACTGATGGTATTCACTTTAAACTTTGTTCATGCTATTGAAATGATAATTGAGGGTCATTTCTAAGGATTCAGAACTGTGGCATGGATATTGAAATGAAATATGGCCCTCTGTGAACTTGGTCATTAATCTCATTATTGAGAACTTATAACTTTGTCATTTATTTTTCATTGAATCTTTCTCTTTGTTGATTCCTACATAAAGAAATCTCCAGTTTATTATCAAACACAAAGAACAATCGTGCATGCTAACCTCTGTACAGCTTTTGTTTCTAATGTAGGTCCTCTTCTTTTACAAGTCACATCATGGTTGTCTTAGAAATTAATATAGGCCTTAAAGGGTAGTAAAACATAGATTAAGTAAAATAAGTTAAAGATTGCATTATTTTATTTCAGGTCAGGAGATCAGTTTGGAAAGTTTACAACGAAAGAATGGCTTGAAAAAATTGTTGTGGTTGGTCTTCGAACAGAGCCTACAAAAGCTGTTTTAAAAGTTAAAGGTAAGATAAATATTGATTATTGACCTTATAAAATATTCAATTTAATGTTAACTTCAACTGTATTGATTTTTGTAAGTGATGAAGGTTCATCTGACAGGTACTCATGAACCTCATAGGCTTATCACCGTATACGCCTTAACACCTCATTATCCTGAACTGTATTGTTGCAACTAAAAACTTGACTAAATAAAATGATTTTCAATACACATGTAACTATAAAAGTAACATAATTGCTCATGATTTTAATTAATAATTGTTAGGTAATAGATTATGGCTTTGTTGCCTCCTGGGACCAAAATGGCGTAATTGTAATGAGACCACTGAAAAAATCATTGAAACAAGTGTGCTGAAAAGTGAGAGTGCACTTTAGCATAAAATTCATGTAAAACATACTTATTGAAAGAAAAAGAAAAAAAATCAGCTTGAAACACAGAAAATAATTTATATATTTTAAAATTCTTTTTAATTTGAAACTAATACATCTATCATTACATGTGTTAAATGCACCAATAAATGTTCAATAAATAATGAATCAGTCAGGTCCTTTTGGCTTAAGCTGTCACATGTTGGGACGGGGTCTGTTTAATGACTTTAGCAGGCCTTTATCACATCCTGGCCCTTATCCTTCATATAAGTAAATAAATATATATAGATGGTCTTGTTTATTCAACATGGATTGACCAAATTTATATTTACATTTTTGATATTGTATATTTCAGGAGAGGAATCATCATTACAATGGGAATATAACAGTCAATATGGACAGCTGATTATACGAAAGCCGGGTGTTAATATTGCCTCAGATTTTAGTATTAAATTAACGTGATAGCTTAATGTGATCTTAATGTAATAATTGTTGAGTGTAGATGTATTTTCATAAGATAGTATAAGTTAATAAAAGGTTTCTGTCTTGCATTTCTTTTCTTGAGTAACATTTAGATTTATTTTCCTTGTTTAATTTAGTGACGGTAAGATGCAAGTATAAATGTGGTTTGAGTTGGTTGAATTGCTCATGTAGGTTTTTATATTATTCTTGTTTAACAATTGCACATTTATTATAAAAGGTACAAACATGAAATGTTGATACCATATGTGGTTTCTAAGAACTGTTTATCATAGTTTTCATTTTTACAGGTTATGGAATTATAAATAAATTTTAATGAGGTTTTGATGTTGTAACACATTTTAGGTTTGATATTAAGTAGCAGTATGTACTGTTTTGGAGAATACAAACTGATATATAAGGATAGCAATATTTTGCGTCAAATATAGTTTAATTTGATATTTATTTTCTGATACAGAAGGGTTAGAATAAGAATATCTTATTTTTGATTTGTATTCTGTGGAATAGAGCTTGTTTGATCTGATATAAGAGAACTATATTGTGTGATCCAATTTAATAAATTATAAGAGACTTTGATACAAGTCTAAGATCAGATACTCTATCATCACCCTTCTATAACATTCTTTCTTATGGTGTTACTGAATTGTCAACTGCAATATAATAAAATAATTTCCAGCTAAAGCATTTACACTTTAGCAATGTTGTGTATTTTTGTTCAGGGTTTATTTGTACTTGTTAGATAACCAGAACATGTGGCTGAATATCTTTAGGAATATAGTATTAAATCATTTATTAATGTATGAGGCTAAAAACATTAATTTCCTTGATTTCTTTTTTTTAATATTTTGTTAACATCATATACTTTTGGTCACTAAGTGTCAAGATTACATATATAGTTTATAATCAGAATGTATTTATTGTATAAATTTAATGGCTTTAAATAATTACTATTGTATCAAGTAAAGTCAATATGTCGCCTATGCAGTCTATATATGGAGATTTTCATCTGGAAACTGTTAAAATAATTCAAATTACCATATTATGAAATATAGTGAAATATATTTATTCTTGAACGTAACTTGTGAAGTTTGAAAATAACACAAACAATTTGCTTATGTGATTGGGAAACTGAGAAAGTGTAAGTTTATTAAATGTTAGTGAAACAAAGATGTGATTTACTCAATATAAATAGGTAGTTTTCTAAGACATTATCATCGCAGTTTTATTGTATTTTTCTAAGATAATGATTTATTGAAGGATAATAATTTAAATGTATAATATTAAAATATAGCTATTTTACCTATTCTGAAGACTCCATTTTTGAGCAAGCTAGCTTCTACTGGTAGCCTAGGAGTGATATAGTCTTTTTCAAATGAACACATTAAATCTGGAATGTGTTCAACATTGCCCTGCTGGAAGGGGTATTAACTCTTGTCAGCTTTATATTGTATGATATCATATACAGAATGTTTTATGTTAAAATGCCAAGTGGAGAAAAACATTTCCAGCTTTAACTATTACTCGTAAAGTAGAATATAGCCAAAAAATCAGTCAGCAGATTGTGTTGAATATTTTTTCTTGTAAGGTACAGGTATCTAGTCATGAAGTCTTTGATCATTTGCTTCCGTTTTGAGTGAAAGAATAAAGATCGTAAAGTAGTGTAGATGGGGTATGTAACATTTAACGCATTGACAATTCACACTGTACTTGTACATGAATGAATGAGGGACTAAACTTATATGAGCCGCGTCACGACAAAACCAACTTAGTGCGTTTGCGACCAGCATGGATCCAGACCAGCCTGCGCATCTGCCTAGTCTGATCAGGATCCATGCTGTTCGCTTATAAAACCTATAACAAATAGAGAAAATGATAGCAAACAGCATGGATCCTGATCAGACTGCGTGGATGCGCAGGCTGGTCTGGATCCATGCTGGTCGCAAACGCATTACGTTGGTTTTGTTGTGACACGGCTCATATGTGACCTCAAGTTTATAACTGCTCATCTGTTTTACTGTACGCTCATCAGAATTGGAACACATTAAAATTCATTAACCTGATTGATATTCCATGTTGATGTCTGTTTTATTTTAGTAGTATGCTTACCATAAATTATTTTTTCACCAAAGATGATTAACAGTCAAGATTATTTTTATTTATTTTTGGGGTCAAAGATGGCAGATATCAGTAAACACCATAAAAAATTACAGAGAAAGTTCTTTATGTCTGTAACTAAATATCTTTCATTTCTCATTAAAGGTTCACATATAACACTTTAATGTTACAGTAGAATTTATTGCATTTATTATTTAGATTTAGTTATTTGTCATATTTTACGTGTATTGTACTTTATATCTTGGTGTTAGGTTTGAACTCTGACAGGGTAGAACAGCATTGCTACAGTTACTTTAGTAATAACAATTAAATTCTGTGTTTTTATGTAGACTGAATGACTTCCCACCTCTATCTTTTGTTCATTAAGTTCATTTAGCAGCCAGAATTTTATGTCTTTGTTAATATTAATTCACACAAAATATTTGACCAATAGAGTATGATGACCTGTGTTCAGATATTTGTCTTTTCAAGATATAATTATTATTTAAGAACACGCATGGTGTTAGACATTGGGTTGGTTGATATTAACATGGTACATGTACTTACAAAGTTCATAACAGTCAAGACAACATTTTCTTTACAGTTAGCCAGTTTGGTTTTACCATAGTAACGGATTAGCCTGTACAGCTTTTAAGGGACATTTTTTTTTTCTTTTTATAAGTACCATAACAATTTTTGTTTTACTAAGACATATGTTTCATATTGTTATTTTTTGTGGGTTCTTTTCCGCCAGACTTGTTTTGAAAGATAATAGTTATATTTTTCAGGAATTTACATATACATCATTATTGTTGATCATGCTAAAAGTGCTATAATTTAGTGTTACTATGTACATAATCATATATTCTCGACTACCAGTCTATAATGTTATATTCTATAAATAGTTATTATATTGAGAAAATTAATGATGCAATACTTAACATATTGATGTAGTTATTAATACATTTAATCTTATTTATGCTATTTAACATGTTTAAAATGGTCAGTTCTAATTTAACTTCTCTAAGAACTGTAAATAGTCACACATACTGTTTAATTAATATCTCTAGTTCGTTTTCCTAGTATAATACCAAGGTATGGATAAAATTACATGAACAGATGATCTAATATCTTATCATTGGGTTTGTTTGATAATATGTTATATAATACCTTCAATACAGGCTGAGTAGTTTATGTATTTACAGTTGCTATAGAAACTATATTTATCATTGAAATCCAGTTCATTATAGTCTTCATTGCTTTTGTCTAGATTATTGTACATTTATAATCAAAAAGTGCTACAGACCTGCAGAACGTTATTGTTTTATCTGATTGTTTTCATTGTGAGAATGGTTATAAGACGAGTTTTGTGATAATCCCATATTTGAAGTTTCAGTTTGATAATTACTACTCTTATAATACTTGAGTAGCAGATAATGAATGAAAACAGCGAATGTCTCACACAAGTAGATATGTAGGTTATTTACATAACAGAACAGTTTTGTTCTGTTCTGTTATTTACAATTCAAGACAGACATAATAAATTTTATTGTCAAGCAATATTTTATAATTGGTCATATCAAGGGTTATTATTCATTTCAATTAGTAACTGATAATGTTGCATTGACAATATTATGTGGTAGGTAAGTCTAAAATGGTCTTAATTTATAAACTAATTAAATCATTCATTCCCACCAGTATTATCATTCCAAAAACATAATTGCAGTTGTCTAAAGGCAGGCATACATAGAGATATTCTTTCCTAATTGATTAGGTATGTCACATGTAAAGGCTGTATATTATATCCAATGTTAACATTGTTAACAAGCTACTTAGTTAAAGATAGAATGCTTCTTTCCACAAAGATATTGGAGTTGTTGTAATTATTTTATTGAAATGTTCATAGAGATACTTGAACTATGAGATCATGTACCAAAATATTTTTCATGTTTAAAAGAAAACATTAATTGTATTGTTTGTGTAAAGCTGTTAAATGAAAAGTCTTTAGAATGCTATTACATGTGTGAACATTTAGTGAACGTGAAGTTGTAAATCGTGCACATTGAATTTGTACACAATTATGATATTGATTTTTTTTCAATGAAAAATAAAAATTGAAACATATCAGTATCTGCTGTTTGTTATTTTCATAATGATTTGACTGTATGTTTGTATTGTTAGTGTTTAGTGACAGGCAGCACTTATAATCCCTTTTGAATTGTACTGTAATTAATTGTATGTGTTCCATTCAATATTGTACACACACATTGCTTTCCTGTCCTCAGATGAAAACTAAAAGTAGTTTATGTTGATGATGGCAATCCCCTCTGTCTCCACCTTCATTGCTCTATACGAATACACAGTGATTGCTACCTGCTGTATTAGAACATTATAAAGATGTACATTATAGATTACCCACCAATCTGACTAAAGATCAGAACTACTTTTTTCTTACACTTAGACCTGATAACAACCGTAAATGTTTCGCTTTCATTATGATTCGGATTTTCGGGAAAAGCTATTTTAGCCATGCAATCAAACAGGCGATAGACTAAATATCAAAATTTCGATGACCGTGGAAGTAAAAGTTTTAGAAAAAATGTTTAAAGTAAAATTTGTAACAAGTAAACTGGAAATAACTCAATTTTTAATGAACACGATTGCATTGCCAGTTTACCTGCCGGCTATATGGACAACGCCATGTTTGTTTTCGAAATCATGAAAATTACCTACTCACTATTGGGTTTCCAGCGGTAAATATATGAAACTTCATCGCTTTCAAAATCTAAGATTGGCTGTTTGAAAAATCACGATAAGATGATCGTCGGATCCTAATGCGTAGCGTTATTTAGGAGCTGATGTTAATCTGACCCTTTCCTTAGATTTTTTTTTTCAATTTTACTATAAAACAAACAAAAAGTCTCCAATAAAATAACACTATTTGAACCTGGTTTTAGATATACACTTCTCTTATACATTAAAGCTCATTTATTTAACATGTGTTACGTAACATTTTCTGGGAGGTATTTACAAATTTTCCATAAACCCATGTTCCGATGATAGTTTCCTCATTGTGAGGTCAGTTATTACAGGGACTTATTTGAGAAAAGTCTTAATACTGAATGATTCAGAGGGTGAATATTTGCTATGCAGCACTGTCGTGTGAGCTTTTGTAAATGTTACATGGCTCATGACACTGGGATCAAATAGATTCACTCCACAGGGCCACTTTCTTTCATTTAGTGAGACAGAACCAGTGCATGTGACATCGTCTAGTGGACACCTAAATAAGTGTTACATAAATCACGGCCCAGGGATGAAAAAATAATTCCATTAACTTACATGACTAAAAACGGTTCCTGAAGGCCATTTTTTATGACTTGGTGATAGGTGGAAAATGTATGGCGATCTTTGATTCAATTTGGAGCCACTTCTGAATCAACGATATTTGATTTAAATGTCACTGTCTGCGAGTTGTTGCATTTATATCATTGAATTATTTAATAAACTGACAGACATAAAGTGATCTGTATAAAGTTGACTTTCTGCGACGGGCAAGATTCATAAAACCTTAGTACAATGCAACAAGCCAAATATCTGCTCTGGGCATTGCAGTTTCACACAACAAAAATGAGTTTAAAAAAATACAGTCAAAATAAGTGACCCACAGGGTCGGGCCACTTTTCGCCAAAAGGCATAATTTATATAACGGGTGTAGAGGATCACAAGGTCACGTTACATGTCAACTTGCTTTGTTCTGAGCATTGTCGTTTCTGAGGAAAAGATTTTATGACACTATATAAGTCTATGTACAATAACGACGGACAACTAACACATTGTCAGCACAAAAGCTCACTCCTGAGCACAGTAACTTAAAGATATTTGTTTGATTTGTGTAAATTCATTGAGTGAGTATGAAAACAATATTCTCACTCACTGATAAAATTATATTACACCTTACAAAAAGAACATTCACATTTTCTTTTCATTTTAAGCTAAATTGCGATTTAAAATCGAAAGCCAATTACTTAACAACGATTTTGATAGTCCTACGCATAAACCCAAAATTTCCAGTTTTCCCCAAAAATTTCTTATCTCTGGCCAGTGATGAGCATTTAATTATAATTACATGGCTTGTCACAGTATCACTGATAGCAGCATCCTAGAATGTTTTATGATCCTATCATGTTTCAAGAATGTATAGTTTTATTATTAGCTGGAGATCATTTTAGATATAAAGAAAACTAAGATTTTCATAGGTACATTCAATTTTAAATAAGTTAAAGACTAAAAAGACTGGATTACATTAAAAAAGATTTTAATCACTTACAACTCACAATCACAGGGATTCGGTACAGTGTTGGGATAGTGTAAAAATTAATTTTAGAAACAAACATATTTTATAGGGTTTTTATTTCTAAAATTGCTTTTTACACTATCCCATCACTGTGCCGAGTTTCTGTGCTCACAATAAAAATACTAATGTAAATTACTTTCATGGTAAATGCATATCATGCCTCAGACATTTATATTATTTTTTTTAAGGAGCAAAATAATGTTTAGAAATAATAATAATAATGGGTTTAAAGCATTACAGCCATTCTCCTATAATTGAAGCACTTTTTAATAATTCCTGTCTCCACTTTTAAAATCGTAGTAAAATGTACAGACGAGCTTAATCCTTTGTGACAAACATTTAAATAAGTACACTGGGATGTTCTCAGCAGCTTAACTTTAATTTTGTAGCGTGGATGCTCCTCTTTTGTCATTTGTGTTAAACTGAAAAGCTATAGTAACTGCAAAAAAGCGCTGTCGCTTGACCAATTAAAGTTTAAGATTGGTGAAAAAAACAATCCATTTCTATGTTTTCCAACAAGTTTTTGCCTAAAATCAATACGGTATTGATAATAGATTAAGAATTACATAAGAAGTTCGAGACAGAGACCCTTGTTTTCCATGATTTTCTTTAAATGCTGCCGTCGCCAAAATGCAACTATGGTACCGTAACGATTTTAAACTGGAATGTAACGATCTTGAGATGTGTTATATTCTTTTAAATTTGTACTCAAAACAATATCAAAAGACTATATTTGGAATAAAATTGATAAATTAGACTCCTGCGATGATACATTTTAACACAAACCGTTTTATTGTAAATAATTCAAATGTCGCGTTTAAAATGCTATGCCTCCGTAACGGGCGTATACGTTTAAATATACATTATACCAATCAAATAAAAATTTTGAAATATTGTTTTGTATTTCTTTAAATGAAAAACACCAAAATGAGATGTCGTTTGCACAAAAATGTGTTAACTCTGACCCGTAGAAGTCTAATTTCACTATGTTTCCATAACGGCTATTTTCCGTAACAAAACGATCATCCGAATTTCGGTACAGTATACGGTTCAATTGACGGTGTGACTTTTTTGCCTATCACCTCTCCCAATGATACGTCACTATGAGGTATGCATGCAACATCTTAATTGGCTTTTATGATACAATTAGGCAACTGGAGGTATTTGGCAATCACTGTACTTTATTTTGGCAACCACTGTTTTTGATTTGATAACGATGTTTTCACAATTATGTTACTTACACGAGAAATTTTACTGATAAAATCGATTGCAAGCTTTATTTTCAGCAAACCACAGATCTCAAAAGTGTCAAGTTGATGCTATTTTTATTTTTTTTACCTGTTTGAAACATTTGTTACGGAACATAGTTAATTATTTTGTGATCATAATCTGATATAATATATGTACTTTATCCATAGTTATTTTACAATTTGAAATGAATGATTGGTTTCAAACATGGAACACATATTTCGATGAAAAAGAAGTGCACAGTTTATCAAATAGTCAAAGGCAATTTGTTACGGAAGCATAGTCTTCTATCAACTTTTTTCAGCACCATAATACATTTATTCAGTTTGTTTATAAAAACTGCTCCAGTGTGTTTTTTCATTATAAAGATATATGAAAATGGTGTCCAATATTAACTGGAAGTCTAACATGATTTGTATTGTGCTGTAAGGTTGCATTTTTCCGTTACGGAACATATCAAATTTGTTACGGAACATAGCATTCATAAATGCTATGTTTGAATATGATTTTTTATGTTTTTTACTATTTATAAAATACCAAATTGTATCATTATGTCACTTACATTATCTAAAAGTTTTAGAATTACAATTATCATGAAAAAAGTAGTATTAATAATGATATTTAATGTAATAATGATAAAAATGATGATTATCATGTAATTGTTTTAATTAATAATAATCATGATAAAAATTATTTTAATGATGTTCATGCATCAAGGTTAATAAATTTATGATAAGCAACGATTTTCAATTTTAGAATGGTGCTTTTAAAAACAGAAATACAGGAGACAAAGCATAGAGGGGAAAACAACAAATCATTTAAAAGAGAAAGAAAGCAGAAAAAAGTATGTTCCAATTCAAAAAAGAAAAAGCACTGGTGAAGAAAATGTAGAAAGAACTACATGAAACATTATAACATTACAACAAATTTGTGTAAATAAGGCAGAAAGAAAATAAATAAAAGTGAAAAAAAAAGAATTCTTGTTCATTTTCAGTGAAAAACATAATATTTTATTTTCCATAACATATGTTCCGTAACAGATATCTTTTCCTGCACTACTTGCTAAATTGAACTGTTGATGTTATTTTTAATTGATACAGTGTTTTATGATTGATGTTGTTTGTGAAAGTACCACATTTAAATTGTTTAAGTAATTTTAAAGAGTGAAAATATTGAGTTATAAATCCTATGTTTTATAATTTTTCACCTATGTTCCGTAACAGATCATAAGGTCTGTTTGATGATCATTTGTGCAGCGAAGTTTTTTTGGTAACGTTACACAGATTAAAAGTCATGCTTGATTTGTTTTCTGCATCTATTTTAGATATAATCCGATAACTTTAATGACAGTATTTGTTTGTGCATTGTATCGGAACAATGTCAATCTTAAGTTACGAAAATATTTGCTTATACAAGCTTTTCAAATACGAAGTATACAAGTTTCAGAATAAGATATGGCATAAAATATTTTTGCTAAAGGTAACCATTGGTTTTCAACTTTACAATGCATATTCTTTTGGATTAG